GTCGTGCTGGGGCGTGGTCGTGCTGGGGTGTGGTCGTGCTGTGGTAAGGTCGTGCTGGGGTGCGGTCGTGCTGGGGTGTGGTCTTGCTGGGGTGGGGTCGTGCTGGGGTGTGATCGTGCTGGGGTGGGGTCGTGCTGGGGTGTGGTCGTGCTGGGGTGTGGTCGTGCTAGGGTGGGGTCGTGCTGGGGTGGGGTCGTGCTGGGGAGTGGTCGTGCTGGGGTGTGGTCGTGCTGGGGTGTGGTCATGCTGGGGCGTGGTCGTGCTGGGGTGGGGTCGTGCTGGGGTGGGGTCGTGCTGGGGTGGGTTCGTGCTGGGGTGCTCCGCACCCTGTGATTTATCGATCGGGTCGTGCTGGGGTGTGGTCGTGCTGGGGTGTGGTCGTGCTGGGGTGTGGTCGTGCTGGGGTGTGGTCGTGCTGGGGTGTGGTCGTGCTGGGGGTGGTCGTGCTGGGGTGTGGTCGTGCTGGGGGTGGTCGTGCTGGGGGTGGTCGTGCTGGGGGGTGGTCGTGCTGGGGGGGTGGTCGTGCTGGGGGGTGGTCGTGCTGGGGCGTGGTCGTGCTGGGGCGTGGTCGTGCTGGGTGGTCGTGCTGGGGTGTGGTCGTGCTGTGGTGAGGTCGTGCTGGGGTGTGGTCGTGCTGGGGTGTGGTCTTGCTGGGGTAGGGTCGTGCTGGGGTCGGGTCGTGCTGGGGTGTGGTCGTGCTGGGGTATGGTCGTGCTGGGGTGGGGTCGTGCTGGGGTGGGGTCGTGCTGGGGTCTGGTCGTGCTGGGGTGTGGTCGTGCTGGGGTATGGTCGTGCTAGGGTGGGGTCGTGCATTTCGCTCGAGACATCCTGCCAAAATTCCAGGAAATCGTACAAAAACAAAGGAATTAGTCGAGACATCATCGAAATTCCTTCGCGCGGGGCGCTTTTCCGCGTCGCGGTCGGCTCTGCAAAACAAGCGTTTCGCTCGAGACATCCTCGGCAAACTCTGCGGAGCAAGCGTTTCGCTCGAGACATCCTCAACACACGAAAAAGTGGCCCGCACCCTGTGATTTATCGATCGGGATTTCAAAAACAAGCGTTTCGCTCGAGACATCCTCAAATTTTAATTCGCCGGCCTCCTTCGACCTCGTTATTTATCAGGGAAAAAATTCGCCGGCCTCCCTCAAGTTGGCACCGGGGGATTAGGTTTACCAACTAAAAGAGAACCCTGGGCTCATGCCCTTTCCGGGAAAACACTTGGGATTTGCCACAGTTCTGAAATTCGGAAGCACCCCTCACGCAGATCGGCAGGGTCAGGGTCCAAAAACACATGAGATTTGCTACAATTCTGAAATTCGGCGGCACCCCTCATGCAGATCGGCAGGGTCAGGGTCCAAAAACACCGGGGATGTGTCACATTTCTGAAATTCGGCGGCACCCCTCACGCAGATCCGTAGGGTCAGGAGCCAAAACACCGGGGATGTGTCACATTTCTGAAATTCGGCGGCACCCCTCACGCAGATCCGTAGGGTCAGGAGCCAAAACAAAGGGATGTGTCACATTTCTGAAATTCGGTGGCACCTGTGACGCAGACCCGTAGGGTCAGGGTCGAAAAACTAATAGGTCCCGACACTGCTTCACGGCGGCGGCCAGACCTCATGATTCAGTTTTGCATCTCCCATTATCCGAGACAGGGGGCCGGCGGCAGGGAGCGAAGCCCTTACGGATAAATACATACAAATAAAAGGATTCCCCATACTTTCCTATATTTTCTGGCTTTCTGTTTTCCCCCCCACTGCCCATACTTTCCCATTCTGGGGAATCGACGATTAATTGTGTCTGTGTGTGTTTTTCCCTTCGGGTGCTGGGGGGGCCGCAGGCCTGGCGCAGCCATCCCTGTCCAGCGAGCTCCCTCGGCAGCCTCTGGCCGTGGAGGGATGTCGGAGAGGCCACGTGCTGGATACGGACGGGGCCCTGGGGCGCACGAGCAAGTGCACACACGAATAACAGGATTCCCAAGTGTTTCCCATGCTTTCGAGGTTTTCGTCTTCCCCCCCACTTCCCATGGTGTCCCTACACTCTCCTGGGAGTCGACGAGGAACTGCGTCCGTACCTTGTTTTTTCCACTCCTGATGCACACATGCGGCAGCCGGGCCCGCACAGCCGGGCCACGCGCTGGAGGGGGCCTCGGGTCTAGCGAAACCATGCTGGTCCAACGACCTCACTTGAGCAGGGGCCGACCGTCCCAGCCTTCCTACAGGCCTACCACGGAAGGCCAAAAAGGTTCCAAGAACAAACCAGTGCTCTTAGAACAGCAGCCCCGTGCGTGAAAGCAGCACCGCCTCGGCCAGACATGCTCTGAGAACATCTCGTGCGACCACAGAAGGCTCTTAGAACATTCTCTGGTGGGACTACTAGGCGAGCCAGGGACCGCTTCGCAACTGCTCGACTCCCTGCGGCAGCCTCTGGATGTGTTGAGAAGGAGTCGGAGAGGCCACGAGCTGGATGCAACACGCATGCGGCAAATCTGCCCGCACGGCCGGGGCCGCGCGCTGGACGGATATCCGGCCACATGTACACAGCAAGGGGCCCAAGGACACACACATAAATACGCACAAATCCGATGATTCCACATATGTTTCATATTTTCTGGGTTTTCGTCATCCCCCCCACTTCCCATAGTTTCCCAAATTTTCCTGGTGGTCGACGATGAATTGTGTCTGTGTGTTTTCTTCTCTCCTGAACACAGCAGGGGCCCGACCACAAGAACCCTTCCAAAAGAAACGCAACCCTGAGACCCCAGGGCGTCAGCTGGTTTCTGGCGTTGGCACGTCACGCTCTCCATCGCAAGAGCATCGATGCCCAAGAAGCCCAGGACACCCTGGAGGCGAGCGGGGTGTTGCTTGGCATGGGTCTCCACTGCACGTCCGAGTCATGTGACTTATACGTTCTGGGGGGAAGGGGGGAAGGGGGGGCGTGCGGGGGGCCTTAATGCAGCGGCCCCCCCGACGTGCGGGTCCCACACCACAGACTGTGGTGCCGGACGCACCGAGGCAGTGCCGTGAACGCACTGGGGGGGGGGGCGTCAAGTGATGGGGTGGGAGGAAGGGTATAACGTTAGGTCGGGCGTGTCCCCCTACAGGGGGATTTTCGACGAAAAATAAAAATACCCCCACAATGCCCCCAAAAGGCAAAAACATACTCCAAAAATAGTCCCCAGACTATTTTTGGACTATTGTTTGACTATTTTGGGGGTATTTTTCATTTTTCGTCGAAAATCCCCCTGTAGGGGGACAGGCCCGACTGATCTATAACGCGAGTTAGAGCCCAGAGGGTAGAACAAAACCACCCTCGTAGAGCCCGAGGCTTTCCTCTGCCTTCCTGGCCTCCGCACGAAGTGCCGGAGCCGCGGGGCCGTGGACAGAAAGCGGCTCGAGATGATGAGCCTGAATTGAAGGGGCCCAAGGACACACACACACAAATAAATATACACAAATAAAAACATTCCCAAATTTTCCCCATACTTTTAAGGTTTTTGTCTTCCCCCCCACTTCCCATCTTTTCCCATATTTTCTGGGGGATCGACGATTGAGTGTGTCTGTGTTTTTCGTTCCCTTCTGAACAGAGGAAGGGGGTTCGGGATGTCCCGGAACCTGAGACTCGAACACATCGGATCGTCGGAGGTCCGGGTGGGCAAGGGGGGAGGGGAGAGAAGGGAGGGGAGAGGGAGGAGGGCGGTCCAGGTTCTTTCACGGCGTTGGTCTTTCTCGGCGCTCTGGAGGCCTCTCCCTCGGGGACCTCCAGGGGGAGCGCAAGAGAGAGAGAGAGAGAGAACGATGGAGGAGGGTTGGGAGGGATGAGGAGGGCGCGCTGCGAGAGAGAGAAGACGAAGGGGGGAAGATGAAGGGGAGCGCGCCGCGCACGCGGCTGCGAAAGAGAAGGCGGGGAGACGAAGGGGGGAAGGTGGCGAGAGGGAGGCAAGGCAGGAGGCAAGGAGGCGGGAGGGGGCAACAGGATCCTGCGAGCAGAGGCAGGGGCCGGCAGCCGAGGCGGACGGGTGCCCCGTCCCGAACCGAGCTGCGGTCTCGCGGCCCGGACCTTCGCCTCCGGCCGGCATGCACGGAGGGCGAGCGCGTGGGTTCGACTACTCCTAGCGAGGAGGATGCGCGGCTCACCACCTCCTCCTCCTCCTCCTTCTCCTCCTCCTCCTCCTCCTCCTCCTCCTCCTCCTCCTCCTCCTCCTCCTCTTGCTCCTCCTCCCTCCTCCTCCTCCTCCTCCTCCTCCTCCTCCTCCTCCTCCCTCCTCCTCCTCCAGAGTCCAGCGTCGGCTGGGCGCTGGGAGTCGCCGTCGCATCGAATGGTAGCTTTACCTTTGCCCACGTGGCATCGTCTGGAGCCAAATTGCATCGCAACGTCATAATTACTGCGGGCCAGCCGTTCTATGCCTGCGAAATAGAGGAACTCGCGTAAGTCGTTCTCACGTATCGTGCCCCTGAATGTCTTTGACAGGTTGGTTGGCATGAAGGCTTTAGCTGCCAGTTGATGACGCTTGAGGCGGCTAATTTGAGTCCGTGCCAGCGGATCTCCACACAAATTTTCGCCATGTCGTGGTCCAATCTTGGCTGTGTCGACGTGCGTTTGCTGTAATCCACCCAAGACTTCAAATCCGCGCTTCGGAGGAGGGACGAGGGGAAAGGACACCAGCAAGAGGACGATGAGGGGGATTCGCTCCGTCCCTCTAGCCCATGTCATCGCGGTCGCGGATTCTGGGGAAGATCGAGAAACCAGTGTCACTAGCCCTCCATGTCGCCTGCACCGTTGGGAGAGCCGCGCGCTATTCAAGCGGTATAAGACGCCCCGCAGGCTCCCCAGAACGACCACCGCAAAAGATTCACATCTTCCCTCTGCGGGGAGGCGACACACGAAATCAGGCAGCCTCCTTCCCCTCCAGAAGAGATTGCCGCATCCCTCTTTTCCCCTTCCTGATAAGCGGGGAAGCTGGTCTTCATGTTCCCTGTCCGCCTCTTCACATTGCACCTCTCTCTCTCTTCCTTTCACAGGGATGCGACGCAAAAGAGTCAGACCATTTCTGTACTGTCCGTCTTACCGCCCGCACCCGCCTCCGACCTACTCAGATGACCTCCGAGAAGCCAGTGTGCTGGCCGGAGCAGGGCGCGTTGTCCGGGAAGGCGACCTCGTCCTGTGTGACCCCCAGTGGATCACCGACAACGGAACGCTTCTCCCTGGCAAGCTCCGATCGTGGACCACACATGCCTCACAGAACGGCCGTGCCGAGCAGAATTGTATAGCAGACCCGCCGGCCGTGCGAACAAGAACTGTCCGACAGACCAGGCGTGCCAAACAGAAGACCAGGCGCGCCAAACTGAAGATGACCACCAACCAGACCACCCCAACCCAACCCGAAGACCCGAATGCCGCCCGAAGTTCGGGTTGGGGGGGTACGAGTTTCATGTCTTTTTCCGTGTTTCCCAGCCCCGCCCCACCGGAGATGGAGGGCAAATCGGGGCGTTCGGGTTGGGCTTGGGTGGTTTTGGTGGGCGGTGAGAATACAACAGAACGCTTCTATGAACGCATGAGCAAACAGCAGAACAATAGTGTCGCTGCACATCCTCATACTGCACATTCGCCTGGGCGACCTGGACACGCGAAAACAAGCGTATCTCTCGAGACATGTTCAACACATCCTCATGCTAGGCATCTGCCTGGACGACATTGACGCGTGAAAACAAGCGTCTCGCTCGAGACATCCTCAACACATCCTTACGCTAGACATCTGTCTGGGCAACCTGGAGGCGTAAAACCAAGCGACTCGGTCGAGACATCCTCAAGACCTAGGCACGTGAAAACAAGCATTTCAACTGAGACATCCTCTGAATTTGTCTCCAGGAAAGTTACGATCTATAGGACAAAGCACACGTTTCGCTCGAGACATCCTCAACCAATTACGCACACTCGAGACACCCGCAACAAACGAAAAGGCTTACTTCTACCCTGCATTCAATCGATCGGAATTCCAAAAACCGCTGCTCCGCCCGGGACATCCTCCACCATTCGAATCCACCGGTCCTCGCCGACCCCGTTGTCGGGTGGACACACGCGAACCCTGCCCCTACCCCTCCCCCCCCCTCAGAAATCGCAGGGGGCAGGGGTAGGGTTCGCATCTGGCCCCCTATAGCTGTTCCTCACGGAACAATCTCGCCAGCCCCCCCCAAAAGTCGACCCCTGGCGTACAAAAACTCGAAACTCGCACCAAAGCGAGCACCATGCTGGGACGAAGCCCCTGCCGGGAGCCGAGGGCCACCGCCGCTGCCGGCGAGCGCGGCCGGGGTCCCGGGCTCCCGGCGGTCGTTCCGTGCCGCGGGCTCCCAGTGCGCAGGAGCCCATGGGACACGCAGAGAAATGCACACAGATAAAAGGATGCCCCATATCTTCCAATGTCTTCTGGGCACTTGTCTTCCCCCCCCCCCCACTGCCCATGTTTTCCCATATCTTCTGGGGAATCGACGATTCATTGTATCTGTGTGTGTTTTTTACCCTCCTGGCAGTGGTGTGCGTGTGGAGAGCTTGGCGACGAGGTGCCGCCGACTGCGGTGGGCGGCCGGGTTTCCGGATTCCCGTGTCCGCGGCCTGGAGGCATCACCCCGCCGATCCCTGCCGGCGGACATGCTCCAGGGCCCAGGAAGAGAACGCCCACCAAACAGACGGAGAGGACGAGCACAGGGAGAGAGAGAGAGAGAGAGATAGAGAGATAGAGAAGTCCAAGGAGAGAGTGTGGGAGAGATTAGAAGGATATCCAGAGAAAGAGAGAGGGACAGAGGGAGAGAGAGAGAGAGAGAGAGAGAAAAAAAAAAAAAGAGAGATGAAACAAATTATAGCCTTGATAACATGGAGCAGAGAGCAAAAAGTGGGGAACCTAGAGAGCAAAGAGCGGGGAGACCAGAATAGAGCATAGAGAGTGGAGGGTAGGGGAAATTTATCGCATGCGCACGGAGTGTGGGGTAGAGAATTCCGACGCTGTTTGAAACCCATCCACCCGCCCAGACATAAAAATCTTCTACTTCGCAGCCCCTCGTATCATGCGACGAAGGTGGCCGATGGGGATCCGTTACAAGCTACACCGATTCGCAATGCCGTGCAAGTGTACGAAATCACGCACGCATTTCGATAATGGGGGGCGATCGGGAAGGTCGTTGCCCGTTCAGCGCGCGCGTGTGGCACGCATGGTAGCAGTTGTTGATTGTTGGCAGGGACGTTTCACGTGCAGCCCGCGTGCGTGGCCGCAGCGTGATCTGCTAGGGAAGGTCGAGGCATGCGCACCGGACTACCCAAATTACTTCACTCCGATGGCGCCCGCTCGGCGCGCCGCTCGTGATCGGCATGGTATCGCTTCGCCTGGAATTGGCCGCGGCCAGGTGTGACCCGGTCGGGCCTGAGGCCAAGATTGGCGGCGAGCGAGGGGGGGAATCTGAGAAGGAGAAGGCCTCCTCAGACAGCGGCGGGACTCCTCAAAAGCCCCCCCGCGCCTTCCGAGACGCTGCCCGCGGCTTCGGCGAAGGCTCAAAAGACTTCTTTCAGAGGCCGGAGGACTCTAGGGAGCCCACAAAGGACGTACGCGCCCAGCCATGTACATGAACGCGGCCCCTTGACCCGCGAGACTGGCCGCGTGATACGAACATTCGCGCAATGCGAACTCTCGAAATCAGCGTGGATTCATGTACGTGTACGTCCTTCTTTCGCTCCCGAGACTCCCGAGCCTCCTGAGGAGGCCCGCCCCCCCCCCTCGCCGCCGACAAGCTCTCGAAGAGGCGGCCGCAGGTGCCCTTGGCGCGTGGAGGCGCGGCAGAATGCCAGGCGCCGTCTGGCAGGGTGCCGTGCCCGCCTGCGCGCGCGCCCCCCGTCCCGCGGGGTCCCCGGGGAGGGCCCGGCACCTCTGACGAACGAGCAACACACACCCATAATCATAGGGGGGTCGTTGGGAGGAGGACTGGCTATGGGTATGGGTGCGGGTTGTCGGACCCTGGGGAACGCTCCCGTTCGAGCGGGGACCCCCATCCGACAACACGCACCCATAGCCCTCTCCGACCCCTCTATGAGTATGGGTGTGTGTTGTTGGTTCGTCAACCTCCCCGGGGCTCTCCAAAACCTCCACTGCGGCCCAGGAGTGGCTGCCTGCCAGAACTACCCCAACCCAGCCCGAAGACCCGAATTCCGGGTTGGCGGGGGTACGGGTTCCAGATGTGTCTTTTCCATGTTCCCGGGACCACCCCCCACTGGAAATGGAGGGCAAATTGAAGCCTTCGGGTTGGGTTGGGGTGATTTGGTGGGTGGTGAAGGAAGGCCACCGTGGCTCAGCACTCCCTCAAGAAGCCCCCAAGCAGCCCCAAAGAAAGCCGCTATAGGCGTCAAAGAGCCTCGGAGGAGCCAGAAGGATGCCAAAGCAACCCACGACGGCACAAGAAGGGGCCACGGTCGGCTCAGGAGGGCCCTAAGATGGCTCGGGAGAGCCCCACGAGGCTCCCAAGCCAACCTCGGGAGGCCTAGGAGGGGCCCAAGACGGCACCAAGACGGCCGAAGACAGCCCCAAGAAGACCCAAGAGGGCCCAAAGTGGGCCCCAAGAGGGGCCCGAAGAGGGCCCCCTGGGAGCAGCTGGACAGGAATATCAGAGAAGAGTCAGATTATCGGCAGCAGAGAACGTAGAACATGGAAGGTAGAGAAAAGGAAAGCACAGTACAGAGAGTATAAAGTGGAGAACGTTCAGGACCACATCATTATTCCTTTCGGCGGCGAGCCCAGGAGGGAAGTGAACAGGGGCGGGCCTTAAGGCTCGCAAAACCCCCTGCATTATGCAAAATTGTCCCTAAGCCTCCCCCGAAGACACAATGTGGATTGTACGCGTGTGACTGTATAGATACAGAGAGACACGAGGTACAAATAGGGGAACCCGTGCTAGAAGAGAGCACAATCTCTTTCCGTTTACGAAGGCGTGGGCGCGTCCGTCACAGGCTTCTGACACCGCGTCGATCGTGCAACCTTGACTCGATCGCGGCCCTGATCGTTCAGGGTTGAATTCCGTCGGGTCCAATGGCGTTGCCGTGCCACTCGGTGCTTCTGCATCGCAGAATTCAACCTTGAACGTGAGGGACAACGATAGCAGGGGGGGGACATCGATCTGGAAGCGGCGATACAGCGCCTATGGATCGGCGATGCGCCCCCGATAGTAAACCCGCACGTTCCTGGGCGGGGTAGGGCAAACGATCACTGGGCGATTGGGGTCGGCGCATCCCCCCCCCTGTTGGAAGAGAACTACAAACTGCATGAACATAAAGTTGTGGCGCTCCGCACAGATTTCTCGGATATGCGCTGGACCCTCCTCCCTGGCGCGCTTCGCGCGCCAGGGGCTGCGCTGGAGGCGCCGCGGGGGGGGGGCCCAGCGCGGACGAGCCTACTGTGGCATCCTCGCGTGGACAAGCCCCGGGGCCGCCTGCCGCTGGAGGCCAAACGAACCTTCGAGCCGCATTGTCCGGGGAATGCCCGGTGCCCGGCTCCGCGCGCTCTGGCCAGCGGAACGCGAGAACACCAGAAGGTCTACGGCTCGAGTGGAGGATCGACTACAACATTGATTTGCCCCAGAATTGTTTTCTCTTCAGGTTTTCCAAAAAGACGTAAGATGTTTGTAGACCTACCAACGTTACACGTATCTGCTCAGGGCTCCGACGGAAAAAAAAACAACTATTCTGGGGAAAATCACTCGTATAGCCGATCGACTGCACGAGCAGTAGGAGTTCGACCACAAGAAACATTCCACAAGAAACCCAACCCTGAGACCCCAGGACGTCCACTGATTCCTGGTGTGGGAGCGCCACGCTTTCCACAGCAAGACCATACCCAAGAGACCCAGGGCACCCTGGAGGCTGGAGGCAACCAGGGTGCTTCTTGGCATGGATCTCCACTATACGGCCGCACGGTGAAGAGGGGGACCCTGACATCCTCGCATCGTGAAAAAAGCTTGGCCTCCCGGGGCCCCGCACTGGTCCCAGGGGCCGTCCACAAAACTACCCAGGATGAGCCCAAGCGGTCCCGGGGAAGGGGCCCGAACCTCCGGGGAGCCTCTCGTTGCGGCAAAAGCGCGACGTCGCAGATCTCAGGAGCAGGACCAGGTGTAGGAAAGGTGGAGGAGCATGGAAAAGAGGGAGGAGAAACGGAGAGGAGAGTCGCGGGGGCCCACCAAGGACCCATCACACATCCAAAACCATCATGCTCGTCCTCCTCCTCCTCCTCCTCCTCCTCCTCCTCCTCCTCCTCCTCCTCCGCAGAAGCAGCTGCCTCCGCCTCCGCCTCCGCCTCCGCCTCCGCCTCCGCCTCCTCCTCCGCCTCCGCCTCCGCCTCCGCCTCCGCCTCCGCCTCCTCCTCCGCCTCCGCCACCGCCTCCGCCTCCGCCTCCGCCTCCGCCTCCGCCTCCGCCTCCGCCTCCGCCTCCGCCTCCGCCTCCGCCTCCGCCTCCGCCTCCGCCTCCGCCTCCGCCTCCGCCTCCGCCTCCGCCT